AGGCAGGTCGTAAAACTACTCATTGTCATTTAAAACAATATTTCAGAGTAAGGTCGTAACACCGCTCACCAACACCTTTATAGCATATAAACTGTATTTTTGTATCAATTATTAATAACTTGTGAAAATAAAGACATTATTACATTGTATACATCAGTATTTCATCTCTACGTTGATGTATGAATCGACGTTCAGTCSGKACGTAACACCATCTATCAGTTGAAAAAAAATACAGTTGAATTCAGTTGCTTTTGCTGAATAGGATCAGCCTATTTTTGGAGACAAAATTACATTGGTACTAGAAAAAAGTGAATTTTTTAATCAATAAAAATGTTAATTAGTAAAAAAAAACTGCCAGTTATAGTCGAAATTAATCCATTTCAAGTAGACATATAGTTTATTTTAAGTAAAAGATATAGTTTAAAAGCAAAACTTTTATTTAAGCATTTTTGGATAATTGTATTACATTTTAGAGCATATATTATTACATATTACATGGAAGGATATTTCTATGTAAATTAGAAAATTAAAAATATTGTTTTTATCATACTACGCAGAAAATGTCAATTGTTTCATGTATAAAAGCGATAGGTAACGTCTTTATCTATCTACAGGTCTCTAGCAATTATTGAATGTAAAAAATGTTAGTTAAAAAATATAGAATTCTGAAAAATCTATGAATATGCAATTATATGCATTATGTCCAAAATATGCAAAAAAAAAAAAAAAATGGTCCTATTTAAACGAGATTAAGCCAAATCGTGGACAAACCTGAAAACCAAACAATTTGGACTTAAGGAAAAAAACATGCAAATGCATATAAGTCCTAGCCCTAATGATAACCCGGTTTATCAGATAACCATATGCATGCTATAATTGTTATGTTTTTGGTATTACTACAGCAACTAGCTTTAAACAGTAAAATCAAATTGCAACTTTAGATCTAAAATCATGATATAAGTGTTTACTATTAATACATTATTTCAAATGAGGTAAAATGAAAGACATAAAAATGGGGCCTTTAGGGTTTAAAATGTTTATATACCTAGCTTATAACTTGTAAGTTATAACCTTAGAAAATTATAGTATATATTATATACTATATATGTTCCATATATATATATATTACTATAAGTGTTAAAATAATTGGTTTCTCTGCAGTGTCAGACAATCTAGACACCAATTATGACACGGACCGGACATGACGCTGCAGAGAAAATGTAGAAGTACTATTACAATATTACACAGTATGATATGGTTTTGTTTGTGCTCTCTATAGTTAATACTTAATGTATATATTAAAACATAACATATGCATATTTGGCTGCATYCGAATTGGTTCCCGATATTCTAGGTAGGCGGCACACGTCCGAATTGGTTCCCGAAACAGATTTACGAAAAAGCAAAATACAATATAATATAAATGAAATATTTAATATTATA